GTAAGCATATACATACATTGTTGTCTCAACTTTCTGTCTAGCATATTTTTTTTAATAATTCTTGTCGTCTCTTTGCAAATAGGATCTTTCTTTCTCCTCAATAATAATACCATTCAGTCTGCTCTAAAATTAAATTAAATTAAATTAATTAATTAATTTTATAATTAAGGAACAAAAAATAACAGAGGTTAATAGCTAAATCAACTTAAAATTTTAATTAAGGACTATAAGATATTATACATTAAAATAAAGTGAATGTATATATATATATATATATAAAACTCAATAATTCACATAAATTATTAAAACAAATTTAGGTCTCAATAATTCAAGAACTAACTAGCTAGTTGCTGTTAAGTGGAGTGGTTATTTTTCCATTATACATACATATATATATATATATCGAACCAATATATTATGTAGCTATAAATAATTGCCAAAAATTATATAATTTTTTTAAAAAAAGAAAAAAAAAAAGCTACCCCAATTGAAAATATTGTCTGTATTATTATAATATCAAATTTAAGATGGAGTTTAAAATAATATGTTTATATTATAATCAACTAATGTAAATACAGTTATATTAAATTATGGGTATTAATTCAAATATTTAAACAAAAATTGCAGTTAACAAAGTTCAAACTCAGACTCAATCTTAGACAAATCAAACTGGATCTAACCAAGTTTTACAAATTATATATATATATATATATATATACATACAGTGATTATATATGAAAGAAAACAAACCAGTTTTTTTTTTTTTTTGTTTATCAGACTTCTCCACATTGCTCACATGGAATCCACATGGTTTCTTTCTTTTTCACATATTCTCTGTGTGGGGATCAATAGCTGCAACTTCTACAGCTATCCAGCTCTCCATTTTCAAGACAAACAAACTATCATTATCTTTTTCTACTAAAGCATACATGACAGATAGGATTCCACATAGATTTCAAGATTGCCATGAAACTTCTAATTTAATTTGTATTTATATATATATATATATATATATATATATACTTCATGAAGATACGACTACCTACTCCACTATCACTGCATATATATATATATATATATACATGTGTGTGTAATAGTATAGCATATAACAGGGATATCAGAATTTGTGTTCTTTTCAATAACTAAAACTAATGGTGCAAACTATGCGTGGTTTTTGTTGAGTTTTATATAACAAGAAATTGTTGGTGATCATTGGTCAAGGTCTTGAGATTAATTATGGTTGATTCAGCTAGATCTCGGAATGTTACTGCTTTTGTTTTCTACTTGATAGTTTGTGTCTTAACGAACAACGTTCATGGTGAAAATTTAGATGAGAATGGTGGCGATCATGGTCTAAGTGAGTGGAAGTCTCACGAACATAATGATAGTTACAATGATTATTGTTCGTATAAAAGTTGGAGAAGCTGCGGGAGTTTTTTTGCAGGCGGTGGTGGTGGTGGTGGAGGAGGAGGAGGTGGAGGCGGAGGTGGAGACAAAGGAGGAGGCGAAGTTGATGGTTTTGGTCGTGGAGAAGGCTATGGAGCTGGAGGTGGTGTGGGGAGCAATGGTGGAGGAGGTGGAGGCGGTGGTGGTGGTGGAGAAGGTGGTGGAAGTAGGAATGGAAGGTCGGAACATGGTAATGGATTAGGTGCAGGAGGTG